TGAAAATTTCATGTCATTAGCACCTCTAGTAATATATTTACTGAGAAAAATGGTGACGTGTTCAATACTTATTTTACCCGCTGTATAATGCTAAAAATTACTTCATGCCTAACGTAAGTGACTGAAGTATGTCATTCGTTGATATATTCAAATAAATAAAATTATTTCAAACTTGTCCATGTGTAGACAGTCAACATGGAAATCACTGCAGTAATTATCTCGTGGCCACGACATAATTATTGTTTTGACTCAAACACACAAACTAACTAAACTAACAGTGAAACACACAAAATTACATCTTATAAAATCTAAACACACTTAATATAATAAATTTCACATTTCTCATTACTCACTCCTGCTCTCCATCGCTGCCAAACTTCATTCAACTTTTGTGTCTTTTACTTCCTCCTTCTGCAGGTTTGTTTTTTTTTTAATAAATATGAATAAAAAACATTTGAAGCAAACACAACATAAACATGAMCTTATTTTAGCCAGCTGAAGTGCAATCACATAAGACGCCCTGAGTGCACACCGTGGGGTTGTGGTTCTGGTAAAAAGTCGCTGTTGTTTATGTACTTGCAACTTCAGTAAACTTCTCATATTTAGCTTTGTGCAACTTGTTGTAGTGACGACTTATATTAAAATCTTTCATGGCAATTGGTGTCTCTCAGCAAACTAAACACATTGCTTTGCCATGAAATGTTTTGAACAGATAGTCCACCTCCCATTTCATCTGAGAAAGTAGATGTTTTTTGTTTTTTTTTCCGCCCAGCTTTTTAGCTATGACTAAACTACTCACTGGTAAAAAAAAATAAAAATAAAAAAATGAAGATGTGTGCGCAAGGTGGTGTCTGCATTGAATGCATCATCTAGTGGCAAACTTTGTCATTGCAACCAATTCAGTGCCACCGAGAACCTTTAATATTTGTCATTTCCAGAAATTAATCTAAGAATGTCTTTACGACCTGCGGGCCTTTACCTTCTGTCCCTGATACATGCTATTTATTCTAATTTTTTTCATGTTCAGAACCTGTCACTGTCACCTTATTTATAGACATGCTCATGCAATAACTGGTCCGAGTGCATTCAGGTACAATACAATTTAATTTAATTATCATTGCATACTTTCATTTCATAGCAACTCAAGTATGACTTTTATTGTAGTTTTTATCCTTATAAATTAAGAGAAAACATTCACTTTTTCTGAAGGACAAATAAAAATGAATGTGGAAATGCTTAAATACACACACACGCACAAAGAAAACTACTCACACACAGCGAGGGTTTTTTTTCTCTGTGATGAGAGGGATTATGGGATAAAGGAGGCAAGGCCACAGCAGTTTAGTTCAGTTTGGGACCAAAGCTGCTCCCAGCAGCAGCACAATGACAAATACAGATGATTGTCTGGCTGCACACAGGGGATCTGTACCGCCGGTAACACCACGACCACCGTGTTCAGACACACCAGAGCCTCCAATTGGGATTCGGGACCTGCAGTATCTWTTTTTATCTCGAAGGATTTAATTTCAACCAAAGCAGAATCTTTTAAGTAAATTCCGTGGATTGCAATAGAACGGAAAGGAAACCGATTTTTGCTGCTTCTAAGGATATCCTAAACCACAACTGATTATTTTGTTTTAAATTACTTGCTTTTGCAGAGCTTTGTTCATGGAATCATGGAAGTATTCATCTTTTATACAAGAGAAACTTTGCATTTTTACTTTGTGTCCTACATTGAACAGGCTTGATTTTCAWGGACAGTTTTGTTTTCCATATAATGACAATTTAATCTTCCATATACTTTGAGCTATGGCATGACGAAGTGATGTATCCAACCCATCAACAGCACAATGAAGGGATTAATCGTCTGGATTGTTACGGCGATGATGTCCTTTTATAGTATGGTTTGTTGACTATTTTAAAAATTGTTTTTTACCCTTYAGAAATGGCCACTTTGGCTCCTGATGCTATAGAACCAGCTTATATTTCTAATTTCTATGTTTCTAAAAGCATTWGTATTTGTACAACTTTTTTGACTCAGCAAAGTTATTTTATTAATTTCTGTGAATTTCTCTCACAGTGAGGCCACTTTCTTGTCCTGTCTTGATTCATTTTTCTCYATCCTAATATTTTCCCTAACGTTGTTAATGAAATCTGCAATAAGCAAGTCAGCTGTCGCATCAGTGCTTCGCTTTCCCTCGCTGTGCTCGCACAATTTTTGCACAGCACTGTTTGTATGTGCACCCATTGATCGGCCAGCTACGGGATCAATGAGCTGTTATTTGAATTTGGTCGATTGCACTAAGCAGAACTACATCACACTGAGAGATGCGAAGTCACACTAATTGGACTGAGAGGATTTTAACCAGTGGTGCACTAAGTGTGTCTCCAAGTACCTTTATCTGGAACAGAGGGATTTAGGAGTACAAAAACCTCCCCGTAAAGCTGAAGATTTGTTGCTTCTGTGTGACAAATTCTGTGTAATCCAGTTCTTTCATGCTTGCTTTCACAGATGGATTACAGCTGTAGTAAATTAGGTAATTGTAGCTTTATTTTAGGCTTGGAAATCAATAAAGTCATCAACTTGCTGTGTTTATACCATCTTTATTCAAGTTTCTGATCCCCTTTTGTTTAAACATTGACCTCACTCAACAAATGTAATAAGGGAATAGCTTCTAAAGTGTATTCTCATTTACATGTAAACTGATCCTTGTTTTCTTTTTGTGCCAGCCATAGAAACAAAACAGCTGGCTGGCCGCCACCTGGCCCAGGTTCCTGGGGAGGGCTGCAGGGGGCCCAATACACTTGGGAGAGCATGAACAACACCAGGGATGCCCGGGATTTCCTTACCAAGTATGTTTGATACTTACACTTACAGAAGTTTTGACATCCACCGACATCAAAAATAGAAATGGTAATTTTCAGGTTGTTCATTGCTGTRGCACCTTCTACAGGTACTGAGCTTGGATTTTTGATGTTGGGTATTGAATACAGACACAGTACACAATCATGGTGTTATATGAGCATTTTTTTAAAAGTAGAAATAACTAAATACAGCTAGATGTGTAACAAAAAATACAGCAGCCAGGTTATGAATCAGCATGTGTCAGTGCCTCAAATAATTCTCAGAGGCAGAGGAGCATTTATTTATTATTTGTTTATTTATACATACTAAGGGCACAGTTCTGTTTGKTTATGTGGACAGTTGTTACTTAAAACTGGTCTTGGGACTGGCAAACAGAAAAAGTTTGAACTCATTCAGGCATTAAATCCCATTTTCTAGTCTTAAGTCTAGAAATAAATGATCTACAGTACAAACACAAGTCAAGGCAGGAAAACACTATGAACACTAGTTCTGCTTTAAAGTAAATTGCTCTAAAGAATATAAAAAAATTCTTTGTGTTTTTTGCCAATGCTCACAATTTGTCTCCATAAATATGCTATGCCAAAACAAATCTTTGCCATATAAACAGGCAAATGCTCAAGTTGGATTGGCACTGAGATGCTTGCATGCAGAACTCAGGCACAAAGAATTCATTTCTATTTAGATTCTTTGGAAGAGCTTGCTGTAAGTGATAACAGATTTCCATTTCAGTAAGAAGACAATTGACAAGTTGCTGTTTTCTCTAGAACACCATTTCCTCCCTTATCTCATCATCTTTAGGCCTTATTCACCCTTTTTACACAATATATCAGTTTGATGTATGCCCTCTGCCATTTTGTTGCCACCAYTGGAAATAAATTATTTGTTAGGAGCAAGATTCTAAGAAACTCAATCTGCAAAGCTTTGTGGTTAATATTAAAAGCTTTCCCATTGTAAAAAATGTTTCAAGTGGTTTTGGCTGTACTGTTCTCTTTAAAGATAAAGGCTATATTTTAAATGTGTGACAAGTGAGAAAAGGGAAGAAAAAAATCCAAGAATAAAAGCATAATATTTCTTAAAGGAATATTAATTGGCTGTTGTTTTTTTTACATTAGAGTACCTTCTTATTATTAAGAAGAGACGTAGTTGAAGCCATTTGGGTCAAACAACATAAATGGCAGTATGCAATACTAGTCAAATGAATGAATCCATAAACAGCAGCTGAAGGCAGAAGCCTTGGTGCTCTGACTCAGGCTTAAAGCTACTGACTGGATGTACATCTACAACTGATTATCTTTTCAATCAACCCAAATCGAGCTGCAGCCAATCAGTATTTGCAAACACAGAATGGCTATAACTTAGCCATATCTGCAGTAAGTTTGATGTAATAGCAGAAGGTGGGCCCACAGAAAGTCAAACTAATGTAACTACCCATGGGGCCAACAGGGCCCCATGGGTAGAGGTTCATTCAACATGGTGCTCGCTGAGGAGCCCCTCCCACAGACATAAAGAATGAGATTGCAGATACAAAATGGGTTTTCTCTTCAGGGAAGCTGGATGCTTCTGTAGAAATGGGGTGAGAAGTTAAGCTATCCTATAAAAACTTGAAGTGGGTCACTGCAGGCATATGGCCTTGACWCCTCCCTAGTGAGAATTTTCAAGCCCGTCAAACTGGGAGGAAACCCCAGAGAAGACCCCAGGATGCTGGAGAGTTTATGTATCGTGGCTGGGAACACTTTGGACAACAAGTGAAGGATGATGGATGGTCCGATGGCTGGATGAATGAACATCCAGTCATAAGGATTTTTTAAAATCTGTCTAGTAATACATGATGTACTGTAACAGACAAACATAGATACAGTAAGTTCAAACGTTTTACCAAGGTTTTAGGTAAAAATCTTGCCCAAAATGCAGCACTTGGAGTATTTGTCGGGGATGATACTCAACTGCTACCACACAAAATYACGGAAAAATATCTGTATAAATGGTATAGACTTTTTGGGGGAGTTTCTGGCAAAAACATTAGCAATCTTTTGCCTTGGCATTGAGCAACAACAACTACCATTAGATTGAAAGTTCCAATCATGTTGGTTGAAACACGTGTCAACATAATTTAAAGGGACAATATTATGTGTTTCTCAGGCATACATTTAAATACTATACCATAATAAACTATCTACAGTATGTCACCTTTAGCTGTTATTAATATGCTGTTTTTTATGTTTAAGTAGAAATTAAACTTATCTTCTCATCACTTCCTCTTCTAAACACCTTAAAATGGAGGGGGGGGGGTTTCGTGCTCGCGAGGGGGAGTGCTACACTGAGTGAGAACTAATGTTAAGAGCTCAGCAGACAGTTTAAGTTTCACTTTCACTTTCACCGGAGAGCCTGCAGGAGTCATGGGCGG